CTGAAATATCTAATGTGACCAACCTTAAGATGTATTTGTCTCCAGAATGCAAGTGATGATGAGTGTGGTCTTGATGTGTGGAAGGTCTACCCCAACAAATGGACCACTAGACAGAGAAAGCTGCACTGTATTACCAGCTAAGAGGAGGAGGAGGAAGAATGAAAATTGCCCCACCAAATGGTGACCAGTGATAAAGCACTTCAAGAGAGAGCCACTCTTGATACTGTTCAACAAAATTTAACATTTTGTCGACTACAAAGATGAAAATGTCATTTTCTAGGATTATTTGGGGTGTAGAATATGAAAATAACACTCATTTTTTATGAAATGGCTCCAGTTTTTTGTAAGTTGCCATCTACCAATTATTTCAAATTTTCAAGTTTTTGCAAAATTGAAATATTTATTTTCAGATTATACAAAAAATTAATTAAAAATGCCCAGAAGAAAATGTTAAAATAGTCCAAATAAATTCTGCTATATATGTGGCACTGTAACGATTAAAAAGAATAAAAAAATATCACCCCTCTTGTTAAAAAAACTATACAATATATATTTTGAAAATTAAACTTGGTGACCAAGGTAAATCATAGGCACCATGTATCTACTGCACATGTTTCAATGCTCCCTCAAAATGGTAAAAAAGAAAAGTGAATAACCTTTCCATTTGGAGTGCCAATGGTTTGGTGTGAAGCCCAAGATCACATCAATGACTGTTACTATTGCTTAGTAGACATACAAAATAAGTATATTTTGTTTCTATTAGGCCTCAATACTGAAACAGAACTATTTTTGTAATTTCATCCACATTAGGATTAGAGTATACTTATGTTTAATGTATATTCATCTTTTCTTCAGGTTTAACAATGAAGAGGTGCTTCATCTGTGGTACATCCCAACCTTAAATCTGCTATTAGGCCTGTACTCGACTCAGAAGAATCTGAACCACATACGGAAATTATCCTGTCTGATTCAGATGAATCAGAAATGGAATTTCCTGGACAAGAAGACGATACCTATGTTCCAGAACTTGAATAACAAGTGCCAAAACCTTAGTCACAGCATGATCTTGTAAGAGATTTAGATTTGACAAAACAGCAGAGTGAGCTGCTAGCTTCAAGGCTAAAAGAGAGGAATTTAGTAACACAAGATGTTTGAATTACAAAGTTTTACACTCGTGTGGATACTTTACAAGAAAAATTTTCTTTTGACCACAATTTATGTTATTGCAATGATATATCTGGATGTTTTGAAAAACTAAATATACAGTATGAGCTTACTCAGTGGAGGCTTTTCATTGGTGCCACTCTTGTTTAATACCTATGCATATACTCATAAATGTAAATTTTTGGAAAAATTTAATTTGTAAATTACAAAAATTTGGAGTCATTTTGTGAAAAATGGAATTCATTTTCATTATCTACTCAAAAAAAACCCACAGAAAACTGCATTCTTGTTTCTGTAGCAAAATCATTATTGGACAGTGTAATAAGAGGAAAATAATATTGGGATGTATTTTTTACTTAACAATTTAGCAGGTACAAGGCCTTCTATGATTCTTTATTCAACTGAGATTTGCATGTAAAAAAGAAAAAGAAAAATTTTTTTAGCCAACATCGCTACAGCATTAAAAAGACCTTTTTTTAGTGATTTTGTTACATAAAAATACATGTCCTCATGTTGTGAATGTGATAGAGCAAATAATCAAAGTTGGGATAGAAAGTTCTTCCACATGTAACATATTATTCAGATTTGTCACATACTGATTATCACTTATTTCACTATCCTTGTCTCCTCAGTGGTGTCAACAGATTTAAGATATTAAAAGATTTCTTGAAGGATTCATTCACTCAGAAACAGAATTGTTCTTTCTAGATGGAGTATACAATTTAACTGAAAAGCAGAACATGATAGAAAAGCAAGAAAAATTATCAGCTGACTGAAGAATTATGTTATGAATTCATATGAATAAAAGAATTTATCAAAAAAATATATACTGGAAACTTTTGCATCAACCCAATAATTTTTGCTATTGGGAGAACAAGAATTTCAATTTTCAATCGGATTCAGAGTAATGTATATCAAAAAGTAAACTAATGGGAAGAAAATAATAATAGCATTGTTTTAACATAATTATAATATACTTTTTATATATAAAATTGTTATTTTATACTGTACTATATCTGTAGCATTAATAGCTGTTGCATATAGATTTTATGCATTAAATGTAAAATAGATAATATAAAACTTTATAGATAAAAAACATACAAATGTTTATAATGATTAATATAATCAAAGAATATTTTTTTATTATTGGTATTTTAGTAGCCATTCAGTGACAAAATCAATAAGTATAATGCTTAATATATTTTTATGTAACATTGTACAAGAATTTTATATGGAACAATCACATAATTTGATAATCATAAAATATTAATATACTACTACCATTATTATTATTAGAAAAGAAGAAGCATGTTGATTTTTATAACATAGGTCATGC